CTTAGAGTAGTGCCGACAGATTACTTTGTGCGGCTATAAACGACCGTCAAATGGAATGATGAATTTTAGAAGGATTTTGAAAACGGAAAAAATGATAGCCATGCCGGCCCAGCATCATCAACGTTGAAAAATGCCCCGGCACGAAGTGGTTAAAATTCATAACTTCATTTACTGGACGTTTACACCTACACCGTATCACTGTCCGGTGTCTACTCTAATTTGACAGACAACATCTATTGACGCCCGAGTATTTCAGCCAGTAGGCCTGCCACCTAGTAAAAAGAACCCAGATTGCGCAGTGTTATGTAATTTTCTTTTGTTCCCAAAACTGGCACAGTGCACTGCTGACGTCTTTTCAATAGGGGCCAGATGCAGCGGCATTGTATCGCTCATCACTAGAGCGCTTTTGTCCCCGGTGGTAATCCGCTCGCACTAAATGCCACAAACAGTGGTATTATCTTTTAAAACAATGACGGATTTCCTCCGCTATTGACAACTGAAAAAATGTTGGCAATTCCCAGCAACTCGGTCTTTTGTTCCGAGTACGGTCTTTTGTTACAAGGCCCAGCTCTGTTGTCTGATTTTGGGCTCCATGGTTTCGTGTATAAAGCCTATGTGCCCAAAATCGGGTACCCCAGCACAAAGTGGTTAAATCTGAAGCACATACCTTAATGATGAGTTCCCAGGGCCTATAGACCTTCTCCTGTTCCATGACTGGTTCAACCAAAGGTTCCCAGGTGCTAACCTTCTCATTGTAGACATGAACCTCTAGGGACACCTCAGCGGAAACATTCAGCTAAAAATACAAATGATCCAACCACATTAAGCTGTACTAAACATGACATTTACTTGGAATGATCTCAAAGAAACAAGAAAGAACTTCAACAAGCATGACAACACACGTCAGAACAAAACAAAATCCCAAGAGTGCCTCGCCCTACTATAAAGTGTGAGGCTCCAAGGAGAGCTACCTTCTGACACAACAGATAAACCTCAGACATTGGCAAAAGAATTCGGCTGAAACAGCAGAAAAAAAACAGGTTTCCTGGGTCACAATAGCCACTGAAAAAAATGAACTTTGTGTGCAGGAAAACTCCACAGTGAGTCACAGACTGCATCCGCCATACTAAACTTACACTGTGACTCCAATCGCACACCGTAGCCTTCAGCCCACTACGGATGCCCAACATGGCCACGTGTTCATGATCCTCTTCAAGTTCCAGCAAGATCTTGACTCGAGGAACTTGCATCGTCAGTCTCTGCTTAGCCCCTGACAGGTCTGGTGTTGGGCCAAAGTCAACCATGTTCTTCATGCTACCTGTTAATGCAGAATGACACAATCGTCACCGTTAATTTTGATATGATCTCTCTATTTCCTCAAAAACATGATGTCATTGGCATTGTGCGGGTTTTATCTCAGAAGTGACAAATGCGGGGCTCAGTCAAACCTTGTGTGCCATTGGCAGTTTGCTAGTAGCATCCATGTGCAGATCCCACAGATTTCAGCAAAGTTGTTTTGTGCATTCTGCACCATAGGCATACAGACCAGTAGCATGTAGGGGACAAAACACTCCCCTGTGGTCAGTGCCTATGATACGTCTGTAGATGAGTGCTACAGGTACTTACGCTTTGTCTTGTGGAGGAAACTAAAACATTTGCCAATCTTTTTGAACGCATGTTGGTCCAACAGGATGTTGTAGCTGGAGTCAAGGCGGCCTCTCTTAACCCTAACACTCCTCAATCCTTCACCTGTTGGAGGACTGAGGAGTGTTAGGGTTAATTATACAATATCCCTACAGTTTGTCAGAGCGCCTATGATGAACAATTTGAAGAGTCTACCGAATGGGACTTGAACCCACAACCACCTGTTTAGCAGTGCAGGGTGTCATGCTAACATTAATATTCTTCTAACGCAAGCTTACATCAAAGGTCACAGATGGCATGTGATTACCTTTTCTTTTGTGGAAGCCATGAGAGAATATGGGTTTGGGAGTCCACATGTCTTCCTGATCATAGTCTATCAAATGGCGAGTGGCTGTGGGCTTCTGAAATGCAAGACATCAAACAGAAATAAAATGACGGATACACCTGGCTTTTCTGACACAACCTCCCAACTATTCCAACTATTTTAAATCTCTTCAAATAAAAATATTAACTACATGTACTTGCAGGAAGACAAAATGACCAAAGAAAAACCTGGTGTGATTTCAAAATAAAGAACCAACTACATGTACAGAATAATTAAACAGAGAGTAAAGGTTTTCCATGCATAACTACTTAAGTGTCTGAAATTCATAGCCTGCCACTGCAGAAATCTCTGGTACTTATCCACAAACTCTTCAATATATGGACATCCATCCTCTACTACTCACTAACCTGCCTGACTGAATTGAGTGCTTCAATCACACCTTGTACAAGATAAACCACTCTAGGGGAAATGTGGAACTTGACCTCTGTCACATCAATAGCCATGGTCTCATCTCTAGTAGCACTAACTGATCGTGTGAAGGTTAAGGCACAAGGCTCCAGCACCTGCAGGTGCATAGTCAATTTAAATTTAAAAAAGACTGCTTATACAATCCAGGGTTAGCATTTTCAACAGAATGTGAGAGGCAGAAAAGGAGAGAGATGTTACTGGGTCTAAAATTAGTCTATAATATGAAGTGTGTGATACAGATTCACATGTAAAAACATGTTTTTTAAATGTCTGAATCAAGATAACAAGATAGCGTTAACGGAGTTGATCTTTATTAACTTTGAAGGTAAGATCATACCTTATGCAAATGTGAGTAGGAGGTGAACTGGATTTGATATCACAATGAGGTGTTTACAACAGTTTTTACCCAAGAATGAACTGGTCTTGAGACATACGATATTTACTGTCCAAAGCAAAAAAAATGCAGACTTCATGCAACTATTACACCTGCCCCTTTTCATTTTCAATGGCAATACAGAACAAAAGCAGTTTTATTTTCACAAACGAGATGGACTAATCAGAGGAAAAGTTGAGGACCGATTGATCAGGTAGGAATCCCAAGTGAAGACCCGATACCTTATAAGCAGTTTGTAGGGGTTGGGAGTAGACACAAGAATAGATCTCCACATCAGTGATGTTAGCAACAGCCGTCTCTTCAGCAATGTCTGCTTGGAAGGCTAGAGATGCCCCAAGCTGCAAAGGAACAAAGCAAGAAACACAGATAATGTCATGAGGAAATGTAATAGAAAAAACTACAAGTAAAAACTAGCCTTGGTGTCCCTTAGGTTCCAGTGTCTACATCTGGTGATAAGGCCCCCATACAGTATGCAAGCAGATCCAACGAAGAGTCTTTTCTAAATTTACTAGTTCCAGATTAATATCACAAAGTGCATATTCAGTTGTGTATTTGGGCTTATCACAACACCCTGCCGACAAAGGTCTCTTGTGGGTGTGAAATGTAATTTATATCACTATGTTCAAGGGCCTGATGAAACACCACAAGAAATCTTGCCATTTCTGAATGTTTGCTAGGGTCATATACTTGGGAGGTTCCATATTACTGCTTCTAAAGTGACACTGTGATAGAAACTTAACACAATTGCAACACTGCTTATCTCCAAGTAATAGTCCATTCCCAGTGAGAGAATCGGATATTATGCACACGACTACTCCTCTGACTTTGAAATATCGACAGCTGAACTTCCACAGACTCAAGTTTTACACGGTTGATCCTAAAGTCACAAAGAACTGATGGTGCATCACTGCATCCAAATGACACAAAACTATGCCACATGGGTTTCTACGATCTGAGTGGTTTGTAGTTCTATTTATCAACAGCTCAGACACTTTTGGAGTAACAAAAATACATAATCTGAGCAAATTGATGGTCTATGACTCAACAAATTCACCAAGGAAAAGAAAATCAAGAAAAGTGTGTCAAGTCATTTATGTGCACGCACAATTTTGTCACAGAAAAATGTTACAATCTTATAAAACTTGAACTCAAATTCTTTATCCCTCCAGACCTATCAGAATACTGCACTTCTTTTTATCTGGACCTTTAATCCAACAGCCTTGTCATTCTGTCACGGTAGAGCTATCCATCCAATATCTCCTGTCTTTACCCCATACTGACCTTCATGACAAGGACCTGGCTATTCTCACTGGTTGGGTCGTCAAAGAGTACAACCTCTGGTTTCCTGATATGACCTGTGACCCTCAGCGTGCCTTGCCTTAGTTCAACGGGAGCTGGCTCCACTACCATCCTGTGTAAGAACATCAGAAAATAAAAGTTCCACAATCTGAAAGGAAAAGAATTCTAAATAAAAATTATCCCAAGTGTTTTGGAAAGATGAAAGACTTCCACACTCGGTGAGGAAAGTCTCCATTTTTTGACAATGCATTTTGAGTTTTACCACATTAGTCCTATAGCTTTGCAAAGGTGACATTTTACATTTAAAATACCAAATTTTACAAATCAGCATATCCTAAATAAAGATACATGTAAGCATGTCAAGTCTGTTAATTCAGCCTAAAGACTATTTCAAAAAATGTGACAAAATTTGTCAGAAACATCTGATTTTGAGAATAACAAACACAACGTCCGATGTGATAATACACTTACGGCCATCCAGACAATTCAACAAACTACTGTCTTACCGTGAGGTCTGACGAGAGGTTGAACCTGGGAAAGAGCTGGTTGGTGACATGACAGTCGGCTTGGCCACTGCACTGCTAAAGAAATGGCTGACTGCCAGGAGATAGTGGACAAAGATGTTGACACGAATGCCATCCACCGTGAACTCAACTACAGAAGACAAAGAAGTAAGGAGGTCAAAAGAAGACAAATAGGAAGAGGAAATTTGCCTTTGAAAATCTGCCAAATGATTCTCCTCTATTCATCAGACATGCAAGTTGTGAGATTACTGCTCTTTATTTACTTTTACAAAAGACATATTTTGATACTCAAAGACATCCTTTGTATATTTAACTTTTTTCTACGCTTTCCACTAATTGAAAATGTCACCATTTGGTTTTTTTTAAATCTCACTCCTTCAAATGTTTGCCACATTTAATAATCATATTTAGTATCATGAAGTGGCATACCTTGTTGGTCGTTGAGTTCATTTCTTGAGTATGTGAGCGATATCATTGGGGAATCCCCATTCCCTGCGCGTGGCTTAGCCTTGCCACCCTTCTTGCCTGATTTCAGGAGAATGCTGAAATTAAACAAACACTGAAAGGGATATTCATCATCCAGAAAGGACATTTATCCCCAGTATCTCCATGCTGTTCAATTACTAAAGGTCAAATCTGTGGGTTTCACCAAATAGGTAACAAACCTGTGCCTTTCAGGCTTCAAACCTGTTCAGAGGCAAAATTATCAAACAGCTCAAACAACCATACCTCTTGATGGCTAACGGACTCTTGGGTCGTATATCATCCAGTGTGACACTCAGCATAGTGGCCTGGACCTCTATTGAACCACCTGTGAACACTGACGCTGAGCCTTTCACTTCTTGCAGTTGGAAGCTGGACAGACCGTACCGTAGATCCCGTTGGTCCAACCCTTGTCCACCCATAGGCTAGGATAAGATGAGCTATTTAATGAGTGAGGCTGGAGCTTGACCATGAAGTGGGTCATGTAAATCAAACCCCTTTAACAGCTGTGGTGATAGCGAATGACATATGCAATTTTGACAATCAGGTATGCCAGATGGAACTTAACTTTTTAATAGTAGAGACTGATCATCCTTACTCACAGCCAAAAGGCTGAATTATGAGGGATGCCACTACAGCTTGCTTGAATCAAATGTGTGCAAGGGTGCCCAAAGGCCAATTCATACTTCGGGCAAAAACACTAATTACACGTCACAAAGTGCTCGATCTAAACTTGCATTTGAATAACTATGGTTGCATTGTGTGCAACTTTTGAGATTTCGCAGTGCGAATATTTGATGTGATGATGTGATGTGGTGTGTAAGTTTGCATTCATGTTTGCATTCTTGCTTAGTATGAATCAGTCTTCACGAGTTGCCAAACAAAGTACATATGACCACAGAGTACTGCCCGAGATTAAGAAATGATTTTTGTGGAGGAACACCGGAGAACCCAGACAAAAAACCCAGGGGTGGTTAAACTTTTCTGGAAGTTAGTACCCACTAAAAAGAGGGGCAGCTTGATGTTTTTCTTTCTTCAACTCTCTGGCAAGTATCCCATATACTGTTCTTCCCTCTACCCACACATGCACAACTCTATAGACAATTTAGATTTGGCCAACATCACAACATGAATCACGCCTTAAGACAAAATTGTGCCACAGGTTACATAAATTCAAAGCAAGAAGGCTACTTTGGAACAATAAATCAAGCTCAGAAGTAGCCATCTCACCAAAAGCTTTGTTTTCAATCTGAAAGAGAACACAATTTATATTGTTCTTAACAATTCAATTTTAAGTGCAGTTGAGTTACAAATGTGGTCCCAAACCAATTGGAGACTTTCCAAGAACCCATGAGTACTGTCTCTTTCCATTAAGAAGCAAGTGCTACCCACAACAACCAGCTTTTGTCAAATACTTTTATGACACCTGACTAGACTTGTTCCAGTCTTACCAGTCTTGGCTCATTGGTGAAGAGAGTGATATGCACTCCTTGCAGCACAAACTCAGCATGGACAGCTTTCTTCTTGGCAGCATCAACTACAGTGGTACTCCTACCAGGGGTTGGGGTGACCGGTTCATCAAGGAGCATCTTAGATCCAGCAGGGTCAGAAGAATGCACCTCTACTGTGATAGTTGGCGCTACAACAAAAAGTGCAGACATGCAAACACATACAAGCATTAGGATTTATCCCAAATTTTGCCACATTATAGGACTATTTTAGTCTCTTTCAGAAGGAAAGATCCATAATTTCTTAGTCCCTGGAAGGAACATATCAGTAAAAATGCTCACTTGCAATTAACTAATTTGGCAATTAAAGATGGTGCCTAACTGGAACCTTGTTATCTGAAATAATGAGCTGTTGTGATTCTTGCATTGAATCCTACCTTCCATGCTCTGGGTACCTTCACTGTGCAGCAAGTTGTCATTGATGACAGCTAGAATTGACACCACATCCTGCTCACCAACATTCACCTGCACATAATCGAGCAAGGTTACATCTAGTAGGGCCTTCATCCGATGCTCATTGGAAAGGTACTGGCTTCCTGTTTAATTGACTGATGTGCTCTACTTGGAGCATGTTTTATGTTTGCTGTTCAACTAGCGTGGTGGTCATTGCTAGTACTTGGAAATGAGTTCCAACAAGGAATGACAAAAGCCTAGCAAATGAATCCACTAAACGTACGACTTGGGATCAGTAATAGGTGTGATGTTTAAGTCAGGGTAAGGGTCGTTACCTCAATGTGTTCCAGGATAATGCTAATATCCAGTGGTGTAATTGACTCGTGAACTGGGGGTACAGCCCATTTCAGATGAACACGCAGTGTCAGAGGTTCAATCAAGAGACGATGGATACCAAGCACCTGGTTGGGTTGAACAAGTCCCCTGTTTACAATGACAAACATCTTCTGAGTCAAAGCAATTACACTGTTGACACAGCCAAAACAATAACAAAGTTGGCATAAGATGTAGTCAGTTCTTGTCACATGACCGTAAGTCCCACGGCCCAATCTCATACAGCTGTTAAGCAGGAAATATAACTTAGCAAATCTAGTCACTGAGATGAGAAACAACCAGTGTATTGCACATAGCATTTTAGATAGCAACATGTTTTTGCCAAGCAAATACAAATGTAACAGTTGTGACCCAACTTCAAATCAGACGCAAGTCATCCAAGCCACGGGCCTTCAAGGGAATCTTACACATGATACATGTATATTAAGGCACCTTCATTATATTTGAACCATAAAATCTATGCACCATTTAGGGTATATCTTAAAGTTGGGACGCTCCTTCACTGAACACTCTTGAGTTTTCTCTTTGGAATTTGCTGTGTTCCTGAAGAAAATGAGCCACTGCTGAGTCATTATCAAAGGCACTAACCAACGTTCCCATTAACAGCAGGTGTCCTGATTGGAATAATGTTCTCTAGCTTTCTAACGTTCAAAATGCTCCCTTACATCAAGATGCTTAAACTGAGATCTACTCAAAATTAAGAGTTGATGAGTCTGCTCTTTCTAACAATGCAAAGTAAAACAAACTTAAAGACGGCCTTGAGCCTCATGCTATGAGATCCTGTCACATGTCAGTGCTTAGCTACTCCACAACAGTGGCACAAGGGAATTCCCAGTAGAAAGTTTCTTTCTTGTGTCAAAGACTAAGAGTAGAGCATTCATTGAACTTGGGGTTGAGAATAAGACTGAGGTCTTAGAGGACCAAGGTAGGGCTATGGGGTAAGGAGGTTTACCTTGACAGCTCAATGGAGTTCAGCTGTAATGACATGTGATCAATCAGTGACTTGGACTCCAACCCCTCTACCTCGACTTCCTCAAAGTTATTGGACAGCATCAAGTCACCGAGATGAGCCACAAGGCAGCGGGTAGATTGAGGGGACTGTGGGATGAAGATGACTGGAGCTCGGATGTTGACGTACCAACTGATCTTGAGACCCTCGTCGCTAAGATCTTTCATCTAGGAAGAAAGAACTCTTATGCTTAAAGATACAGTTTGTCAATTATCCTTTCTGCATTATGCTCGTGTGAGGCAACAACATACTCAAAATCTAATTACGGGTGCTTTATAAACTAACCTCATGAAGTTAAAGCTCAATGAATGCTGTATATTCAAGGAAAGACAACATTCGAGGGTCTTGATTTAAAATCAATAGCAACAGAGTCATGCATTGAATTGCACCCAAATTCGGCATCTGGGACGTACCCTCATTGAGGCGACTACAGCGATGCAATGTTGTACACTGAACCGATGAATTATACCGGCAGCAACCATGCGTGCATGTGCATCATTTCAATACTTACAACACTAAATTAATAACGAACAACTAACAGCAATTTCCCAAAAGGAATCTTCAGACACATCACTGGAAAGGGACTTCTTTCATTGCTTTCTTCAAGATGACAGCTTGCCTGACAGACTGATTTCACAGGGAGCTCAGTCTCCTAACTATAAACCCAGTATGCCTTTCACCAATAATTTGGCCAGTTACGTTATGCACAGGTGCAATTGTGGGACTGTGCCTTGATTCTATGTTGGGTAAATATTTAACACACTGTTGAAGCACTTAAAAATTTAGCCATTGCAAGTACGAGACGCAGAAAAACTCTACGTCAGATGGCACTGTGAAAACATCAAACACAACTACTATACAGTAAACAATTTAGATTTAACAATGTACAAGTCCCTAAATACCTGTTAAAAAAAATCAAACGTGAACAGCGATCTTATTCTATAGTTTCTGATGTTTTCCGAATTACTTAGTTTGGCTTCTACTTCTGCCAGTACTAGACCTACTTTGGAAACCAATTTAGCTTTGTTAACCAATTTAGAATTTTTTGGGGTATACTATCAAATCCACATCTGGAGGAGAGAGGTACAACGTAGCAGGATTCACAATGCAGGATTCAGACATGATTTAGGGTAGCTTTGCAGGCAATCCCTTCAAGGAGTTAAGAAATCTATCAAGAGTGTCATTGCAAGGATTGTCCAGCCTACCTTTTTCTGGACAGCCACCCGGGAGCTCTCACTAGCTTGGATAATCTCCACTTGCTTGATAAATGGCTGAAAGAAGGTCTAAAATGGAGAAAACAAAATTTGATCAAAGAAACAGTTACTGCTTTTTAAAAACCCCCAAATTTCAGATCGTTGATCAGATATGTAAACATATTCTAGCATGAAAATGTGATTGCGTTCAGCAACTTCAAGTTGCTAGCAATGTCAATTGTTTTTTTGTATGAAGTCAAGCGACATTCTTGCTTGGTGATAATATTGGTTGTGAAGTTGAACAAAGATCACTGTAACTGTCACAACTATACAATCACAATTATTATAGGATTGATAGGGTCAGGCTGTCTCAGCGGGGCCCATCACACACACACATGCATGCTGCATGAATTCCTTCAGCAACACACCTTGTAGCCCGGGTAAATTACACACAGAGACCACTCATAGTGACTGTCAGCTGTATGTGTGCATACTACGTGCCAGTTTTGTGACACCATGTATAGGTCAGTCAGGGCAGTTGGTCACAAAGCTGGCTTGGGCTCTTGACTGGTCAGCTGATTAAGCCAAAAAAAAGTTCTGCTTCCGGTTTCCCAAATGATGCTGATTTTTCAGCACCTAAAATTTGTATCGGTAAGTTAGAAAAACAAAGTTTAAAATTTTAAAGATGTATGGTGGTGTAAATTGTCAATAATTCTTAAGAATTGTTGACTGTAGATATTTCTACATCGAT